ACTAAAATACTAACATTTTTGTATTAAGAAAGTCTGCAAATATTTGGTAATTTATGCACTTGTAGAAGAAAATGTTGACCCATCAGAGTGAGTACCTGATATCTAAAATGTGTAACTTAAGACTTATGACTTCAGGCTGAAATCTTGCTATTTACACGTAGCAGTAAAACAGCATAAATCGCTCTGCTCACTAAATTTATAAGTTTAACTTATTAGATTGGTAATAATTATTTAGTACCTAGGGGAATATCTAAAAAGGAAATAAAATTTTATGTGTAAAAATGATTTAAGATATTTAAGTTTATAAAGGGGATCAAAGACCCCTTAAAGGTAAATACAATTCTTTAGGCTTACAATTTCTAATAGAATACTGTCTCTGTACAATAAACTGAAAAGCTTAGGTGTGGCCACGGTGCTCACAGCTACTGAGACCTCATGAGACTCTGAAATCTATTTGGAGTCTGAGGGTTTGTCACCAGAGGCCCATGTCACCACCCACTGCAGAAGGATCCACCTTCCCCGAGTCCCACCATACCCTCCCTCATCTTTTAGTGATAGAAAAATTCCAAATTCCTAGAAGACTATGAATAACTTCATGAATATACAGGCACACATAAGGTGACCATATAATTTACTGTCCAAAGCAGGGCGTATTTGAAAATGAAAGGACATAATAATTAGTCTGGAACAACAGACTTAAGCCAGGATTGTCCTTCACCAATCAGGACAAGATCCTGCTAGGAATAACTGTGTGGTTTGTACATACCAAAGAGGAATAAAGCGAAGAACCCAGCTCCTAGCATTGGACAATACCAAGTGTTGACAATATGCTAGATGCTTTGTCTTACTGGAAAAGCGCCAGGAGTCCTTTCAAATGTTATTGACAATAGTAATCTTTTTACTAACAGTTGTAAGGCCTGTCCTCCTCTGTGTATCAAGGTTTCTTCTTCATACCTGATATGTTACAAGACCTCCTCCCTCATTGACTACAGACAAATCTTATTGTTAGGAGGTACCTGTATTTAAGAGTCAACCTGTAATTTTGAGCAGACACACTGGGGGTACTGGCTGCTCAGTTTCCTTGAATGCAGATTCTTACAACTGATCAAGCCTTATTTTCAAGTCTGAGTCTGTGGTCTTTTATTTTTTTCACAACCACACGTGTGCAAAGGCATCCATGTCTTCTTGAGCACGTCTCTATAAGCTACCTGACACCATGCACATGGCCTTCCAAATGTGTGGCCGTGTCATTTTTTCACTCTCACACTTAGAGTGCACTTTTTACTGTTTGCAAACTCTGATGTGCTCCCATCTGATGGGAAAACAGGAGAACACACTGTGGCTCAGTCCCACCCCAGGGACTTGGCACCCTTTACAGGCCAGTAATGAATGGTAATTGTGTCTGGCTTAGAAACCCCACCAGCATTTGTAGACACAGCTCATTTTACTATAGCCAAGTGCTTTGTCCCAACGGGTGTGGGCTGACTTAAACTTGGTGAACACCGGGAATGTTGCCCTGTGTGAACTATTCCCCACACTACCTCTACTTCCCGTTTGGGCTTTTGGTTTTGGTGGTTAAGAAATATGTCCAAGTGATCTATATAAGCAACAGGCAGACTAACTGAAATACACTGCTGAGGGGAGCAGCGGACGAGACAGGAGAAGTCTGCCGTGCCATGTGGGTCAGCTGCCTGGCCTGGGGTGAAACTCAGGCCACAGTGGCTGGCAATGGCTTGACAGGTGAGACTTAACTCCTGCACCACCAGGAAGGCCCCTTTCCCTCTAATTCTTGATGCAAGTAATTCACAGTCAGCAAACTTGTCCTGGGACAAGTTTTCAAAAATTTTGATTTTTGTTCCCGCCAGCTAGTCTGGGCTCTCAGGAGAGATGCCTGACCAGTGGCTGTTGGATCACTGAGGCGCCTACCCTCCAACCATTCTTTTTTTTTTTTTTTTTTAAGATGTATTTATTTATGTATACAAGAGCTGGGGTACAGGCCAGAGGTGTGGGAGGTGAGAGGATTCACCAGAGACAGAGCGGGGAGCAGGACAGGCAGAAGGACCGAAATACACTGCTGAGAGGAGCAGTGGGAGAGACAGGAGAGGTCTGCTGCACCATGTGGGTCACCTCCCTGGCCAGGGATTGAACTCATGCTGCAGAGCCTGCAGATTGCTTCATAGAGTGGTGCTCAACCCCTGGCACCACCAGGGAGGCCCCAACCGTTCTTTATAGATCTCTGGTCTCTGCTCAGGTTTCCCTGGTATTTGCCGCTTGCCACCCAGTAGAAGTGATGAACCAGCGCTGAGCTTTCTTAGCCAAGGTGGAAGAGGTGACCAGCCTAACTCCCTCTTCTTGGAAGAAACACAACCGAGACCAAGTGAGAAGTAGCTACAGTTTAATACAAACCTGCACCAGAACACAAGGTGTCGGGCTGTTTTGTTTTTGCCTCAAACAGGTGGCCAAAGCACAGGACCGTGTGTCGTCTGGGGGGTGACACAACCTTAGCACCATGACATTAACAGAGGAGTGAGGAAGTCACTTAGGTGCTGGGGCGCTGGTGGCTCCATCCCGACCCCAGGCTGTGCCGGCCGCCTGGGCGGCTGGAGGCGGGGAGCTTCCGCGTGGTTCTGTGGTTTCTGGGTCGGTATTGGAAAAGCCCTCATCACGGCATTGGCTTGACAGAGACCTACTGTGGACTCCTAGCACTACACACACGCGCACACACACGCACACACTGTAGTACAATTTTCTGGTAACTTAACCCACAAACCTAGAGAGCAGCTAAGGCAAAAACAACAGTATTTATTCAGCAAGTACAAGACCAGTTCGAGAGCTGCATTCAGTGCAACCAGAGACCCTCTTCATTCCAACCGGGAGAGGGGGGGCGGAGGGCTGGTGATGGAGCTGGCTGGAGCTCTGCAGGGGAGCAAGGGGCGGGTTGGGGGGGGGCTGACGGTTCATTTGGTTCCTTGAACCTCCTTCTGATTTGCATCTAGAAGCTCCTGGGCAAGGGTGGGGTCTATGGGAGGATGGGGGTGGATGAAATGGAAGGCCTATATGGTGGACCACTCCAAGATGTGGTCTCCAGCGCCACGGGGACCACGCATCCCTTGGGCGGAGGCACTCAGAGAAGGTAAAGCTTTCCTGGCCTTGGCAGGGATGCTCTGCCTGCTGGCCACCACCGCTGCTCGGCTCTTTGGCATCTGCCCAAGGCCCGTGACCCAGCAAGGGCTGACAGGGTAGAGATGTGCACTGGACCAAGAGGCCAGTGTCATGATTTTCCAGGCCTGGGTCTCTACCCAGTCTCCACGGCTGCCACCCTCTATGAGGCCCCCGTCATTTCCGCTCCCTGACTTATGTGTCCATCCTCTCAGGCCCTCGGTGAGGAAGATGAGGCGAAGGGAGATGAGAGGATGTGGACGCAGCTCGAGCCACCTGGCAGGCCTCCAACATAGTTTTGGCTCAAACAGTGAATTTGCATTAGTTTGTTTACAAGAAAAATTGATCTACCTGTGCAAACAAAGCAGAATACCTAGCAGGGGAGTCGATCTCTCGTTGGTTAAACTTCTAGGTGGGATCTACAAGAGATGGCCCCCTGCCGCTCCCCTCCACAGCTGGGGTAGACAGCCAGACGCTTAAGGGATACTTCTGGGGACAGAAGGCCTAACCTTTCTGGGCCTCTGTGAAATGGGGAGAATAATATATGCTCTGTTGTCAGGAGGAGAAATGAGGGGTCATATAGGAAAAGCACTAGAGAGACGTGCACGGAATGGCCATTAGCTCAAGGGTCCAGGAGCTCAGTGCAAGGCTGGGGTGCTCAAACCAAACTGCCACATGAAAGCACTCCCCAAGGCAGGCGGTCACTTCCCAGGTCACTCAGGGTGGACGGAGGTCACCTGGCCTCTAGAGTTGCGTGGACACTTCCTGGAGCTTCAGAGGCAGGGATGTGGGAGAGGGAGGCCACAAGCTGGGGAGAGGGTGCTGCTGACCACAGGCTCTCCAGCCAGGTCCTGCCGCCCTGCTCTCGGGCCCTGGCACCAGCTCCCCTACTCCTGCTCCCCCTTTCTTAGCAGGCAGGAGGCCTCTTGCCAATCACACAGGAGGAGCGACTAGGCCTCTGTCCAGCGAGGGAGTTTATAGGCAGCTGGTGTTGGGGACAAGTGGGGTTAGTGCTGGGAGTGACTAGGGCCAGAGTGGGAAAGACCACCCCACTCCCTGAAGGGGCTCGGGGCCAGTACCCCAGGTACCCTCTCAGGATGCAGGCAACTAAGACCAGGAGGAGAGGGAAGAGGGCCTGGGAAGGGCCTCTGGCAGCCTGGAAGACTCCAGATGGGGAGCAGAGGGGCCTGTGAGTCCAGCACCCCATCCTGCCTGCACCCTGGCTGTCTGGTTGGTGTCGAGTGCAGCATCTCCTAAGGTCCACATCTATTCCTGTTTCTATGCTATGCTAGAGTCACGAAGCACCGTTATTTTTCACAGGATGCACGAACAAGTCAAACCAAACCACTGCGCAAACCAAACGTGCAAAACGAAATCATGTACACGCGCCTGGCACCAGCCTCACGCCCACCCAGCTGGCCCCTCTGAGCCTGTGATGCCCCAGGGAGCTGGGTGGGGGGAGAGGGAGAAGCTGGCAAAGGGCGCAGAGTGTTCCAAACACACCCGTCCCGGGGGGTCCCAACCACACCTGCACGGGGCCAGCGGTGGGGACATCCTGGGCATGGCTGGGAAGCGACCACCTGTCTGACTTGGGAAAGTGACCACAGGCCTAAGGGGACGGGGGAGTCCTTTTTTAAAAACATATCTGCTAAAGTGCTCTGGGCAACTGGCCGGTGGGCCAGGGGGCAGGGCACTAAAGTCTGGGCTTTCCCAAAGCCAGGATGGGGAGGCAGGTGAGAGGAGGGGCTGGGCGGGGTCTATGCATTGGGCTCTGTGCATAGTGTGGGCTTCCTGGGCCCCAGAAAGGCCTGCTGAGGCAAGGCAGGAAAGGACTGCAGCAGGAACACATCTCAAAGTGCCTGTTAGGGTTGGCTCGAAGCACAGTGAATCACGTGTCAGACATGGGGAGGGCTCCCCGGGTCCCGTGGCCCCCTCAGATGGTGTGTTGCCCAGCCCAGCCTCTCCCTCCCCCTGCAGCTGTGGCCGAGGGTGTGCAGGCCGAGGGTGTGCTGGTGGCAGCGGTGCATCCTCACTTGGGGGGCTGGTCAGTGCCTTTACCAAATGCCACTTGACCTGCCTCCGGGGGGCGCGAGGATCCGAGCCGAAGCTCGCTTTGGAACGTGGTCATCAATCTGAGAACCTGTAGGGAAGGAAGCAGAGGGTGAGCTCAGCTACTCTCACCCATGTGCTGGTGGAGGCTCCTTAAGTGCAGAGGCCAAGTCAGGTCCTCCGTGGGTATCATCTAATGTAATCCTCACAACTCCACCCGCTTCACAGATGAAGAATCTGAGGCTCAGGGAAGTTAAGTAACTTAACTTGGCACAGTATGTAAGTGGTAGAGTCTGGATTTGAACCCAGGTCTTCCTGATTCAGAGCTGACATGATTGCCACACCATGCCACCTCCACTGCTCCCAAGCCTGGGCCAATGGTCTCCTGTTGGGCACATAGACTGTGGGTGACCTGTTAGCATATGGGCCTTTGTACAAATGGCTGGGGGAGTAAGAGAGGAAGAAGCGGGGCGACCCACAGTGTTTGGGAAAATCAAAGAAGGAAACTTCAGAGGCCCTTGATCCCAAGACTTAGAAAAGGAAGACTGGAGCCCCAGAGTATAGTGGGACATCGCTCAGTCTGTCCCATCTAGGACAGACAACGTTAGTCCTATCTAGGGTGGGGAGAAGGTGGGAGTCAGCCAAATGTTTGCTGAGTCTGAGAAGACTCCTGCCAATCTTGGGTCTGACAGAGATGTGGGTGGGAGCAGAAGCCGCAGCCAGCAGGGCGATGGATTTTGGGGGCCTTGCCACTGCTCCTGGGTGGGCATCTGCAGGAGGGGCCAGGCCAGGCAGCATGGGAATCTATACCCCCTGGTTTGGCAAGTGCCACTGACTCCCCACAGCACCATCCCCTTCTGACTCCCTGCACCTGCAAGCCTGACTGGGAGCGGTGGCCCTTCGGTGGGGACAATGGCTTGGAGAAGACGGGAGACTGATGGGGACTGATGGGGAGCTCCTCTCCTCTGGGCTAACTCTTAGAACGGGAACTACCTGTTTTCCACCTGGGGGGGGCCCAAAACAGGTTGGGCACAGGGGAAGGTGTTCCCCCTGGTTTTGCCCTCTGCCTCTCATATTGGACAGCTTGTATGAGGATCTGTCTCCCCAGTAAGGGTCCTGAAGCCGGTGGAGGAATCTGGATCTTGTTTCTCTCACGCTCGCAGCACGGCCCTGGCAGAGTGGAGACGTGGACGTCACCGGGGCTGGTCCTGCAGGGCGTTCAGTTGCATTCAGGGAGACCCACCCTGCCCCCTTCATGGTCTGGAGACAATTTCCATCAAAGCCGCCTGCAGGACCTGGGCACCCTGCAGCCTCGGCTGTTCGCAACTCACTGGCTATGCCTTGGTGACTGCACTGCCCCCAGACTCTCTGCAGGATGCCTGGACGGGCACTGCTGACATTAAGGCCCTGAGCACAGACACGGCCCATATATCTTATCTGTGCTGCACCTGTTACTGCTGGCATAAAAGAAGATGAAAGAGGCATAGAGGCATTGTGGGGATTGGGTGCGGGAGGAAATGGAAGAAGAGAAACACTAGGTCTTCAGAGAGGCTGTAGAGGAGAGGGCTGGGGAGACATGGTAATGGAGGTGCAGGGTCACGGAGTGGGGAGGGTTAAGCCTTTAAGAGAAATTACCTCAGCAGCACTGCTGTGTGCAGGCCTTCAAGGGGTTCGTGGGACAAAAATAGCTGAACTTAAAAACCCCAGGGGAGCCCTGGCTGTCATGGCCTGTTAGCGCCCTCCTGCCCTACCCACCTGTGTCTGTGTGTCCAATAGGGCCAAGTTCTCGTCACTGGGGGACACTGCACAAGGCCCCCCAAGCAGGCCTCTCCTCCTGGCCCCTCTGCCCTCCCCCACCACTCCACTGTGGACACGCAGGTGCCGGTGCCGGTGGCCCTTACCAGAGAGGCTGAAGCTGGATTCGTGAAGGTCCCTCATGCCCCCATGTCGGGTGACGGGCCGGGTGGGAGTGTCCGCCAGCGGCGTTCCCATCTCTTTTTTCCCAGGATGCACAACGACAGCGACCTCCCCCAGGTAGGGAGTGCGGTCCACGCCCTTCACCTTTAAGGTCTAGTGAGGGTGGGTAAGCAGAAAAAAGGAACACTATCACCACCCAGACAGCACTGCTGCCAGCACCTCCCCGACAGCTGACGGGAGGCTAGAGCCGGCCTCTCTGCTCAGGAGCCAAATTACCACCCATGACAAAGGTTTCTTGGGACTTGAGACCACAGGGGAGGAGAATCCCTTCCAGGTGTCTCCTAACTACCGTGTACATGACTGTGCACCAGAAAATAGAGGCTGGCTCCCCCTCAACATGGTGGACTCCCCACGAACACCCAGGTAGATGCCTGAGATGCTCACCTCAACAGCACCCACCCAAAGCGAGGTTTCCCCACCAACCTGCCAGGTTCCTGGGAGTCTGTGCCTTGTGATCTAACAACTTTGTGGGGGCGGAGGCTACACGCAGCTGGTCTGGGGGTGAAAGTTCCCCGGTAGCAATACCAGATAATTCTGTACTCGCCGAGGCAGTAGAATTCAGTCTCTATTCTGTATCCTGACTGCCCCCGTTCCAGCCCCAGCTCTGCGCCTCGTAAGCTGTAGAAGTTACCTGGCCTCGCTGTGCCTGTCTCCTTCTCTGTAAAATTAGGATGAGTGTGCTACATATCAGCACTGCACAGAGTTGCTTTGAGATGAGATGCATTAACCTAGAACTGCAAGGCCAGGGCGGCCGGCCCCGCACTGGGAGCTGGCGTGAGGACTCAGGCCGGCCTCTCTAGGGCAGCTCCCAAAGACGAGGCTGGCCATTGCTCCCCAAGCAACAAGGGAACAGTCAGCCCTCTCTGGGTGAGTGTTTACTAGAGCTTGAAGCCCTTGGGGATGAGTGGAGCACAAAGCTCTAGTGAAGGCCCAGGCGGCTTATGGAATCCGAGGCTGGGTGGGACCTTTGAGATAAGACCCTAGGGCCACCCACATGGCAGTGGACTTTCCAGAGCTGGCCTGACCATGACAGTGTGGGGGAGCCGACCCAGCCAAACCCACGCAGCCTGCAACAGTCACAAGGTGGAGGGGAGGGCAGGGAAGAGCAACCAGAGGCCAAAAATGCTAACTCAGGGCAAGCCAACAAGTCTCGGCCCTGAGGCAGGGTTCCTGGAGAAGCTGGTAGCTTTCCTCCCACTCCGGGGGCCTGGGGACCCTCCCCACATGCAGTGCTCTGCTGCAGGCACCCCTTTCCCCTCCTCCAGTCATTCCCAAGTCACCCTCCAGCAGCGGAGTTTGGTGGAAACAGGGTAGGAACCTCTTGAGACTCAGAGCAGCCAGGTCAGCTGTCTCCGACGGGGCGGTTCCGCCTCGCCTCACCTTTTCCCTCTGGACCAGCTTCTTGTAGACGGTGTCCGGGAAGGAGCGCAGGGGACAGAACTTGCCGGTGCCCTCAGCACACATGAACACGCCGTTCTCATACACTACCCGGCCCCGGCTGATGGTGACCAGCGGCACGCCGTGGCAGCGCATGTTCTCATACAGGTTGAAGTCTCCTCCCTGCACCTGGGTGCTGGCTGAGATGGTCCTGGCGGGGGCAGGAGCGGGAAAGAAAGCTCTGAGCAGAGGCAAAAGTGTCACAGTTCAGTGGGAAGGGAAGAGGCTCAGTGGGAGGGAGAGAGGCTCGTTGGGAAGGAGAGAGGCTCAGTGGGAAGGGGTGAGGCTCGGTGGGAAGGGGTAATGCTCAGGCGAGGGATGTTCCCCAAAGGAAGATCCATCTCCCCCACTCCCACCCTTCTGTGTAGAAATGACAATTCCTGGCACATCTCATTTATCACTCAACTTGCATTCCAGAATGTTGTGGTGCTTACTGGGGGGCTGAGTGAGAGCCAGGCGAGCTAACCCAGGTGAGGCAGCCTGGAAGAACTCCCAAGGCCATGCTGCTCAAGAGCGCCTCCAGCTTCAGCAGGAGCAGAGGGTGGTAGAGAGCCTGGGGCCAAGGTCAGGATAGCTGCACTGTCCAACCATTTACAGGCTCTGTGCTCTGGGGATGCCCTGGTCTTATTTCTTTCAACGGTCAAATGAAAATAAGAACTCCAGGCCTGAGCACCCCACCCGGGGTGGTGTGAACATCAAATGAGCCTGTGGATGTGCAGCAGCCTTGAGGGCCTGCCCAGTGCCCTGCAGAGGGGCCGACACGGTGGGGTCTCGGGCTGCCTTGCTCACACATGCCCCTGGTGCTCACACACGTCCCTCTAGCCTGACACAAACAGCGGGCTTTACTTTGTGGCTTCTGGATCCCACACCACCACGTCGGCATCAGCTCCAGGGATGATGCGGCCCTTGCGGGGATACAGGTTGAGAATCTTCGCTGCATTGGAGCTGGTAACGGCCACAAAACGGTTCTCATCCATCTTCCCTCCAACCTGAAACATGGCAGACGTGTCAAGTCAACCAGGCCTGTGAATGTGCCCAAACCCCTGTAACCCTTGAACTGGGGCTGTGCTGCTGGTCAGAGCAGTGGTGCTGGGGACAATGGTGGCATCACCTCTGAGGGCTCCATCTGCTGGGCTTGGTGCCCACGATTGCTTACTCCTTTCTCCTTCATCCAGCAACCGTGGTGGGTGGTTGTGGTTCTGAAAGGCTGCCTACTGGGTGCAAATCTATGCCCTGCTTGTGAAACCAGTTCTATTCCTGTGCCCACTATGGATGAGTGGCACCTATCCTGTGTGCTGGACAAGCATCATTTTATCCCACCCAGCACGAGAGCTCCCAGACTTTCTTTCTGGGAGTTTCCTGAGTCGCCTCATGGATGTTCCCTGAGCTTAGTCTTGAAAATGTCAATCTTCTTGGATTCACACTCTCTGCTGCATTTGATACATGATAGGTCAAAATCAAAAATACTTATTGTTCCTGGGCAGAATAGGCGCTATTCAAATGAAGTCCTAGTCCCTGTATTTATTGAAAAGCATTGGGACAAAAGCTATCAAGAGCCTAAAAATGTTCATATCTCTTGATCCAGAAATCCACTTCTAGGAATCTGTCCTGAGGAAATCATTAGAAATGCTCACATTTACTCTCGAACACAGAGGGCTCTGCAGCCTTATTTGTTAAGCACAAAAATTTCAAACAATTCAAAGCTCCAAATATGGGGGCAGGATTAAGCTAAGCATGGCCGTTCCATTGGAGGAAATATTACTCAGTCATGAAAATGATATTTTTAAAAGAATTTTTACTGATCTAGTAAGATAAAGAGAGAGAAAAGACCAGTGGACACTCTGGCGAGGCCATGGGGCTGGGGGCACGTACCACCCCTCTCTCCCAGATGACGCTCATGCGATCCTGAACGCCGCTCACGCCATGCGGGATCTTGGTGAAGTCCTCTTTGCCCATGGCTTTCTGCTTCGTGGTAAAGGGCCGGTGATCGGAAGCCACAATGTTCAGAGTATCACTGGGTGGAGGGAAGGACAGGAACAGTAAGGGGAGGGAGCCCAGGTCCCAGAGCGTGGGACAAAGCTGGAGCCTGAGCAAGGCTGACCTCATCCTGGCCTGTGTGAGCCTCAGTTTACTCATCTGCAGCATGGGAATATGTGCGAACGTGGCATAACATGTCAGCATCACAGGAGACATTGATAAGAACCTCTGGGGCGTTGACTTTAAGAATCACGTAAGCAGAGAAAAACTGAACGTAGAGTTTAGCTGAAGTGAGAGGGTGGAGGTGGTTTTATTACCAGGAACCATATGCCAGCTTCCTCTCCTCTCCCTTCAACTCCCACCAGTCCCCGCTGGCAGCAAGCATGTGCTTGGTGAAACATTCACAAGTTCAATGTTAAGCTTTGCTAAATAACTCAAAGCCATGGCCTGCCTTGGATGTGGGGGCTCTAATGGCCCAGAAGGGAAAGGTGGGGGGACCTGACAGAGTGAGGTCTGCTTCAAAAGCCAGCGAGGGTGTGCAAGTCACTGGTTCATTGCCATGGCAGCCGTGACTTTCGTCCGCAGAGGGCCACACGGAGCAGGGGTGGTTGTAAGGCAAGGCTGGGCTCTCAAGGGGCTAAGAACTCGGGGCAGAGACTTACAAGAGTGGGAGGCTGCATCATGCTTGTGTAGCAGACTCTGCCTAATGAGGGTCCATGCTCAGAGAGCTCTGTAGGATGAGAGCTCAGAGGTGGTGAGGGCAGAGGGGAGACAATGCCCACATCGCCCAGGCCAGGGCAAACCCAGAAGGAAATGCCCTTGGAGAGCAGGGAGAGGCCTGGCAGGAGCATGGGGTCATGTGGGAGAGGGCCCATGCAGGGGCTGGAGTATGGGGTCATGTGGGGAGAGTCTAATTTTACTTGTAGAAGTCCAAAGCGATGGGAGAGCACATGGGCCACCCAAGAAGGGGACTCTAGGAGCAGAAGGCATTATTTGGCTTGGGGAGGAGACATATTCTTAGGGCTGTCAGACGAATCCGGGTCAGGCTGCATGCAGGCTGACTCCACTGGGGCCTGGCAGGGCTTAGCAGTCACAGCTCATGCCAAGTGACTAATGTCCTTGGCCCAAAGCACAGAGGGATGACAAGGCTCTTCCTGTGGCACGGGCTGGTATCTCCTTGGGCCAGATGCTGCTCTGGGACTCTTCAGACACCAGGCTTTGCTAGAGGGACCCACAGTGCCCGCTGCCTCCCCCAAGCTGCAGCACCCACCAGAGAACCTTGAGGTTTCCACTTCCTCTTTAGGGTGCTCCAACACCTGGGTAGGGTTTGGATCAGAAGGGCACCCTCAAGAGTCTTGGGCTGCGGGTCAGAGACCCCGGGAGCAGCCAGGTCGACGTCCACTCTTTAGTGGGCTAATGCTATTAAGAGCCAACTTTACAGAAAGACTCCTACACCAGGGTGCTCACGTGCAGGTGGGGTGGTCGCTCCCCAGAGAGCTTGGAGGTGCCCAGGGCTGCGTCAATACACACCAACCTATGTGTGTTGAGGTTTAAAGCAGGACTGGCTCAGTCAAGCATTTAAAAATTTCACATGCGGGCATGAAGGGATTTCTAGTCTCTTTAAGAAATCAGGATTTCAATAAAGGACAAATCCTTACTTCTGTAGATTGTACTTTCTCTGATATGTATATAAGAAATTACATCTTAAAGTAGATCACTATGAAGCATCTCAAATTTTCTTAAGAGAGATGACAACCGGTGTGGGTTTTCTATCAAGTGTTTTGTGTAATATCAATTATCACCAACAGTGTATCATGAAAGCAAAATTATAGTCATCATTAATTCCTATAAATAATGAAAATCTGAAAACTATACTCTAAATCCTATAAAAATAGCACCCATTTACAATATGTCCTGATGTAAAAAAAGGATTGACACTATTCTAATGGTTTATCCTCATAAAAGCTGACATAAAATTACAATTCTATTTAAATGAATAGAATGTATTTAAATAATTTAAATTTGACAAAATAGGCTAGATAGAAAATCTGAAATGACTCCATTAAGAATACATTTCCTCCCTGCCTCTCTGAAGCCGTGGGGGTTTTGACACAGCCACTGGGGTGGGCTGGAGGATGTAGGGCCTCTGTCCTTTTGGTACAATGACTTGGGGCAGGCAGAGGCATTTCAAAAGAGTCTCTGACCTTGGAACGGAGCCCATATTATTATAATGATTCTTGGTACTTGTTTGTCTTTGCTGTGTTGATAGTGATGAAAAGGAGACTGGTTTTTTGCAACGAAAAGCATTTTTGTAAGGGCTGATCCAGCATCTCCCCCTCCTCCTGTCTCACTCTATTTATAATCTGTCAGAGCCGTGTGCTCGGTGCCACAGCAAAGCTGTGGGCCAGGATGTAATGACCGCCACCGCACCCCCTGCACCCTGGGGCCCCATGAACTGCTCGCCTCTCCTATTTGGAAAGCCCCTGCACCCCACCTCTCCCTAGGTTGTTAACATGCAGGATGTTGAGTGTGAACTTTCCAGCTGGTGACAACCAGGATGGAAGTGAAGGAGCTGGGTGAAATAAGTGCCCGATATCTACAGAGAGTTTGGTCATGTCCCTGCAGTCCCTCCCCACCCCCCCAGTCACTGGAAGAGGCTTATCTCCATCCAGCGCTAGGAAAGCAGGAGACACAGGGAGGCTGAGGGGTGGCAGAATGGAGAGACTGCTGTTTTTCCCTCCCGCCTCCTCCAGGGATGCTTCCCTACCCTCTTCCCCACCAGTCCACAACCCAAACCTAAGGAGAGGACATCTCAAGAGGGCTAGAAAAAGAAGAGCTGGGCAACAGGAGGCCTGGAGGGAGGGTGGGGGAAGAGGAAGAGCCAGCAGAGGGCAAAGGGAAAGGAGAAGGGAGGCGGGAGAGAGGGAGGGGAGTTGTCCACACAGAAAGCCGCATGGAAACAGTGAGAAAAGGGAAGGCGAAGAGGAGAGAAAGGCCACATCGATTCTAACATAAGTCAGAGCCACAGCCTCCAGCTCCCCAGTGGGCCTTCGTGTGACATATCGATGTCCTTTGATACTCTGAATACCCACTGTTGGGTTTTATACATGCTCTTTGCTCTTCCACCTCAGATGCTCTCACGCCAAACCAAATGGCCCCTGGAGCCCAAGGGGATGGCAATCACCCCGCAGGCTGTGGAGAAGGCAGCAGAAGCAAAACCACCCTGTTGGCATGATGAAATCAAATCTAGATCTGGAGCCTCCACGGCATCACCTTGAAAACCTACAAGTTCCCTGAAAGGCAGGCCCCGTGGGCTCTGCGGCGCTGGGCCCCAGTAGCCCAGCCGGATGCCTTACTTGGCCAGCAGGCTCATGAGGTAGGTTGAGGTGTTGGTGTCTAGCCTCAGCGGAGGCACCGTGACGTAGGCGGCTGCGTGGGACCAGTCCTGGTGGTAGTAGTGCAAGCCCGTCAGCGTGGCGTGGGCCGTGGTGGTCTCAGCCAGCACCACCTTCCCTGGAAGAAGAAGGGCCAGCCGGTAAGCAGGAGGCACCTGCCGAGCACTCATGGGTCTGAGCATCTCGTCTGACATCTGACGGGGCAAGTTCCTGAGGTACATAGAGGAAGGGGCGGGCCCTGGCTCTCTCCCGTGCTTGAGTGTTTCTGGGCTCAAGGTTGGAGGCTCCCTCTCCTGAGGTCGACTCCAGGCGAGGAGGGTGGAAGGGCCCGGGCACCAGGTGGCAGGTGTGTGCGGGGGCGAATAGGAGAAGGGCTGGAAGGCTGAGGGCCATGGATGCCACCCTAGCAGGTAGTTTGACTTCTCTCAGCTCTGCGGGTGCTGTGAGCAGCTTCGGGAGAGCGGCTGGGTGGGGCCGCAGCAGGGCTCTGGAGCAGGGAAGTGGAGGTGGGATGAGTCAGGAGGTTGGGTGACCGTGAGGGTGAGACACCCATGGGCTTCCCCAGAGGGAGGCAGGAGGCGGGAGCTCCAGGGCAGTGTGGTGGAAAGGCGGGAAGCTCTGGCTCCTGATTTCTATTTTCAGGTTTGTGACTGTTTCTCCTGCTACCAGGACCTCATAGGCACCCTGAGTGGGCTGGGACTGCAGGCAGGTCCCAAAGCCTGCAGGTGTTGCCAGGTGCTCAGCAAAGGGAAAAAAATGGTACCCCAGGCTCAAACATAGGGTTCAGGAGACTGTAGGTAAGGGAGGTTGGGGCCCTCACTGCTGCCTCTGCAGGGGCTTCCCCAGCAGCCCCAGAAATGCCCCCTGGAATTGGCCCAGCATTTTATGTTGGTTACCAAGGCCACCATTAGTAAAACCGGAGACCCAAAAGATACTAATTAATGAGTCAACTGGAACATTTTACCAGACCCAGCAGAGCAGACAGACACTTCTGCAAAGCTGTCGTGCATACAAATGAGCAGAGGAAAGACTCGGGTTCTACGGGGCCGAACCCAGGTTAGTGGGATGTGCTTTTGGGGAAGATGGGGTGGGGTAACCCCACCACACGTGCAAACACCATGCCCCCTCCCCCGAGCCCAAGGACTCACCTTGCATCTTAGCAGCTGCAATAACGTCACCAGCCGAGATGCTGGACACATTGACCAGGTAAATGGGACAGTGAGTCTAAAACACAGGAAACAGCCAGGACAGTCTCAACCTGGCAAATCTCAGAAGTGCCAAGATAACCGGCCAAACAGCACTTCCCCTGCCTCCTGCAGCTCCACCCTCGGGGCTGGCAAGGACAGCACAACCTGCAGACTGGGGAACCCCATGAAGCAAGGAAGGGGCCAAGCAGCACCCAGCATCAGAGGCCAGAAGGGGAACCTCGGGACAAGACATCAAATCCTGAACCTCACATTTTCTACCAGCTGAAACTAAGACTGTGCTTACTTAAAACAAGTGACTGTTTTAATTTTCCGCCTTGAAGGTGAGGACCTAGAGACATGGATGGGGTGTTGGATTCCCCATCTAGAATGACATGCCTGTCATCTCAGGGCTGTTGTCAGGAGACGGAATGTTCAAGGTACAAGACACGAGGGCCTCAGAGCCCAGAGGCCACACCAGACGGGACGATATGGCAAAACGACCCCAGATTGCAGGTTGATCAGCTTGTCCCCTACTAAGATGTGCAAGTTTAAAGCTTGACTTCTTTGGGCTTAGATTTGAGCTAAAAAATACAAGAAGTTGCCCTTCTGTGGTTCAGATCTTTCCTTATTCTGGGGTCAGGTTCCATCAGGAATTGATAAACTAGTAATTGTTATGACAGTGAAATACTGTCCGTGGCTAGATCCCAGACTTATAAACTGTGAACGGGAAGCTTTTTCCCCAGCTGTTACGCTAGTATCTTCTCTGCCTATCCACTGAGGGGACAGAGTTTAGAACTGGCCTGAGGTTTGATGTGCTTGGCCCAAGTTATCTGACTAATTCTGAGACCAGAGGGACCTCCACCCTTTTTATTTCCCTGGGATATTGCTAATACCACTCCCTTATGTTCCTTCCTCGGGATGGCCCTAGGTCTTTCCAAAAGAGAGGTTCTCAAGGTTAGGGCCATTAGAATCACTGGTGGCCTGGTTAGAACACAGGTTACTGGCATTGCCTCCCGCCTCTGACTCAGTGGGTCTGCATAGGCTGTGGACAGGCATTTCAAAGCTCCTGTTTCTAGCCAGCGATGCTGATGCTGTGGTCCAGGAACCACACTTTGAAAACCAGTGTTCCAGAGGAGGTAATTCTTGTTATCTGAGTAAATCAAACCTCTTCATGATGCTTTGAAGGAGAAATAACCTTTGAGCAGCGCTTGGCTGTTTCCCTTCTATGACTTTTTCTGTGCACCCGTGAGTGATACTATCATTCAATTTCAGATATTAAAACTGTATGTCAGAGCTGCTGAGTGACTTGCATAGGAGCCAGGGGCTTGTACTGGTAAAGGCCCCACGCCTCTTTCTCATTCCCACAATCCCACTGCACTTGGGTCTATTCTCGAGTGTGTCACCCTGACCAGCCCAAGGAAAAATTATGAACTGCCAGAGGCAGAGATTTAAATCAGGGCTCTCAGGCCAGCTGTCTACCCTATCTGTTTAAAGAAACAGATTCTAGGGGTAACGAGGCTCTGTGCTCCCCCAGCCCCCACCAGTCATTTCCATTTGAACGAAGGCCCAGCAAGCTCAGCAGGTACAATGCAGTCAGTGGCAAGAAATCATAACCGCTCAGTTAGCAAAAGGTTTTGTTGTCCTGTGAGGCAGGTATGGTGCTGGCACCCAGCACAGAACAGGACCCTAAGGTATAGGCAGATCTGATCTCAGAGTCGAGAGTGGTGCTGTGAGCTGGGGTCCACTCACCCTGTTTGCAATGGTGATGACTCGGTGTGTGGCTTCAGCTTCCAGCTGTTAGAAACACACAGGACAGGAAGAAAACAAGTTTGACCATCTTCTCCAAGGAAACCCACACCTGCCTGAGAGCCCACCTTGTAGAAAGAGCCGGAATAACTGACACAGAGTTAAGGGATCACTGCACCAGTAGGGGTTGGCTCTGGGGCAAGCCCTGGGCTGCAGCACCGTGCTCCATCCACACTGAGAGAGCATCCTAGGCACTTCCTGGCCAGATGCCATTAGGGGCTTAATGAAGACAACAGAACAAAAGGAAACAAAAACCCAGAATCACCTTTCTCCACTGTCTGGTACATTTCCCCCCAAAGTCACGATCTCGACTGATTTCAAGCTGGAAGTTAGCTTAGATCAGGGTTTCTGAAGCTCTGCACTACTGATATCTTGGGTGGGAAATTCTTTGGGGTGGGGAGCTGTCTGGGTAATGTTAGCTGCATCCCTGCCTATACCCACTGCAGACTAGAGCTATCCATGGTGCTGTCCTGGGTAAAGGCCACAACATGTTCTCAGTGGCCAAGTGCCAGGTGGCTTCAGTGGCTTCTTGTGGTCCACTGAAGAAAGGAGCAGCTCTGGCGGCAGCCACTGAGCACCTCAATGAAAGTCAACTGCAAAGAGCAGGTGGCTATATCTGATGATGTCAGTGCCCCTCCCCGACTTGGGATAACCCCAAATGCATCTAAACACTGCCAAGTGTCCCTGGGGGCTTCTCCTAAATGGTAAGGGATGTCTGAACTGGGTCATAGGGCATGAAAGCATTGTCTTTTTAGTGGGGTTCCTCCAGAACAGAATTCTTTAGCAGAGGGGCCGGGGGATTTGTGTTGAAACCCTGCACCACTGTGTGCAATGATGAAACCAGAGGCAGGAGGATAGCAGGTCTTTAAATTACTATTGCAATGTGCAATAAGGTAGTAAGGGGAAAGAGTGTCTCCTTTCTATGGGAAGAGCACAAAGTTCTCTAATGCTCATGGGGATTTCATCCTCCAAATGCTAAGTGTTACAGTTTGGGATTTCTTCTACCATCCAAAGGTCTTTTCGTTCTGCCTTTTTTCTCCCAATTAAATTTTGGGCAACCCCGGTAGATTGACATTGTCTCCCCCAGATCGCTGAAATCAGAGTCAAATCAAGTGGTCTGGTGTCCTCCAAGGTCTGGTGTCTTTTCCAAGGAAACTCAAGGTCAAGTTGGCTTCAGCATAGAGGAAGCTATTCCCTGGGAAGCTTCCAGATGGGAATTTACCCATGGACAAAGTGACACAGTACAACTTGTATTTGCTGATGTCTCTATTCTAAAAGATTCTGTGGATCTACGGGAATGAAGTTGACATAGGACATTTTGCTCACCTCCTCTGGACGGCTGATCTCGATTCCTTCTGGGCCTGTGATACCCAAATCTAATGCTTCCTTAGCACCCTGAAGAATAATAATAGAAAGAAAATACTTTGAGATGCAAGAAAAACACCGAACTGATGGGACAGTAAACAGCTAGACAGAGCCTCCCCCTTAGGCTTGCTACTTTCCTTACTTCTGTGACACTCATCTCCTAACGAGGGAAGAATAAGCACAGGGCTCTCTTGCAGTGACGCTCTCCCTGAGTCTCCCATTGCAATGACCAAACATTCTTTTCTTCTTAAAATACAGTTCAGTAAATACGTAAGAGGTCTGGGACACCAAAGACAAGCACTTTTTATTGTTCTGAAAGTCAGAATTTCCTCACTGGAAACCTAGTTGACTCTCTAGCTTCCAGCAACTTCCTTAGATGTTGCCCATTTAACACCTAGAGACAAAAACGGGCTCATCTTTCTGGGTGCCAGTGAGTTGATCTCTATGTTATCCCAGCTTCTCTGGGGAGGAACAAGGCAGTGGAAAACTGATTCTTATTTATTCTTTAAGTCAAATCCCATTAAAATATTTCTTATGAGTGTTTCAAATTCTTAGCTACAATGAAATGTAAATATATCATTAGAACTAAGACATCTCATCTAAGACTGAAAAGTCTTTTTGGACTATAGTTTTTTTACAGATAGTACAAAAGTTTGGGTTTTTTGACAAAGAATTGTCAGCTGGAGTGTTTACATTTCTTTTATAGCTTGTTTTGCTGGAACTTAAGTAGAAGGGGTGATGGATGGTCAGGAATTCCCTCAAAAACTGTCTCTACTGGTGTCCCTGCCCCCTCGCCCCAGCATTCTCTGCTGCCTTGCCTCAGCCACGAGCTCCCCATTTTCAGCATGGACTCGGGCGATCGCCCCAATGTCCTTGCAAGCGTGCAACACTTGGTACAGCTCACTGTCTCGAAGCATATACAAGTCCTTGTAGGTCATGAACATCTGGAACGAGTTGACACCCTTCTCCCGCACCAGAGTCTCCATTTCTGCTTTCACCTGGAGAGCAAAATGCAAAGGCAAAAACTATCTGAGCACAGATTTTTAAGAAGCTGATTGATGTGCTGGGTCCAAATGGAGATGTGGTTCAGCCAGGGAGTTGCCATATACCATCCCCGACCCTGCAGTATCTTACTTTTTCTCACACTCCATGGTGGCAGCGAAGGCATGGATGCAGGAAGATGCATCAAGCATCTTTGTCAAGCATGACACAAATATCAGAACTATATTAGGCATGTTTCTCTACCACATAGGATCATCATCCTATGTTTCTTACTCCAAATTAGTCTTTTTGGTAAACACACTAATGACTGACTCCTGTGGCCTGTCACCCCCATAATGGAAGTGGCATTACAAAGAAGGTGCACTGGTGCTAAAAATAGAGACCCTAGAGAGAATCTAATTTAGGAACAAAGCCAAACATGAACAAAGTGATGTGAATAAGGAGATTTATCCCAACATTATATCAACAAAAAAATGGCAGCAACATTGGTCTGCCAAGAGAAAGCTGAGCTTCATCTACTTCACAGAACATTAGGTGACCATTCCATGGCACTCATGAAAACCACACAGACCAGAGAAAAATCCTCACACTTAAGTGAAAGAGTTACTTTCACTTAAGTGCATATGAAAAAAGACTGGAAGGAAATACACTAAAATAAAAATACTGGCGTGTTGGGGTGACCAGATTAAATGCTTCCTTTGTTTTCTAATATTTGATTATTATAAATAAGAGTTCAAAATTCTGGATGCAGGAGAGACCCCATAACCTCTGGAGACTTACGGATGACCAGGCCTCAGAGTTGCAGAGAAGCTGAGTGGACCCTACATTCCAGGCCAGCTCTTCTCCAGGGGGAGGAGATGGAGAGGTTGGAGATAAGGGCAGCCACCCAAGAGGAGTCCAAAATGAAAAAAAGCCCCATCTGAGACCAGGGATGGCTGATATTCAGCATGGTTGGCACCTTTTGCCAGTTCCAGGAGGGGGATCCTATGGTGTAAGGCTTGGATGGGGCTCTAGTAAGCACCAGTTTAGAAATACTGGGAGACTGTTTGGAGGATGAGAAAGGAAGTAGGGATCTAGGAAGAGGGGCCTGGACTCTGGCTCTGGGGCCTAGGGCAATAGGAGGATAGGAAAGCCGGGGCCAGGGGCACAGATGCGAAGTGGGCACAGAGGCTGAACAGAGTGGGAGTCAGCCTCACCCACACCCCAGGGGCAGCTCAGGGCTCAGAGCAGTAGCTGCACCCTGGGAGCAAACAACAGGCCCAGGCCCTTTGTGCTAGGAGGCACTGAGCCAGGACAGGCCCCTCCATCTGAGATCTCAACTCAGTTACACCCAGTACGAAAATGATATGACCCTCTGGGCCTGACTCTTGCTAAACTTTCTACTGAGGAGTAAGCCCAGGGTGGTCAGCAAAATCTAATGTAAAAAAAAATCAGGAGATGCAAGAGCCCTGTGGTAGGAGCAGAAGCCAGCACTCATGGCCTCTGATCTCACACCTCTGGGTCTGCTGGGCTCTTTAAGCAGGACAGGCCTGCCCGCCCCATGATGGGCCCATATGTGTATTTTCTTTTGGCCTTTGGGGGAGTTAGGATGATGGTGGGAGGGGAGTCACACAGTAGGGGAGTCCCACCCCCCACTCCCAGTGGCTCTGACCAATGGTCCCTCTGCCTTAAGGGGCTTTTGCTATTCTCCTGGGATTCCACCTAGCACTGTTACCTTGGGCGCCCACCAGGTGATCCCCATGTGGAGGGCGTAGTCACAGCAGACCTTGGGGTCGGCCAGACCCCGGCACTTCTCATAGGCATCCACCAGGGAGGTGTCCTTGTCGGGCAGGACATGGCCGATGATCATGGTTGTGCCTCCGACCAGTGCAGCCTGAGAGAGAGACAGGAAAGGCAGCCTTGTCATAGCCTGCCCGTGGCGCCAGCGCGGGGAGATACGGGGTCCGGGGTGGATGCTTGGCAACACCACAGAACTTGCCCTACAGAGGCTGTGAGGCCCAGCGCAGCAGTGTTTGGGGAAATGCTAAGTACCTGGAGGCTCAGGAGCCACCTGTAACCTTAGTTTCCAGCACACAAACCTGCTTCCTCCTCGTCTTGGGTTGCTGCTTGGCATCCGGAAAAACCACTCACTGTGTGACCCTGGCCTCAAGCCAACCCTCTTTCCCAATGAGAAGGTCTCCCAAACAATTTTCAGCCAACTAGAATATATAGATGACAGAACCAAATGCCAGAGTGTAATTTATATATCAATTACCTCGTTATACGTACTAATTTAGTTACACATAAATACTTAAGCCAGTGAGTAAAATGTTAATTTGGATGTATTGCTTTTTATTCTCCCACATTTTTAAATAAGATTTATTTATTTATTTATGCATACAGACATGGGGTACAGGCAAGAGGTGTGGGGGTATGAGCAGATTCATCAGAGACAGAGTGGGGAACAGAACAGGCAGACTAACAAAATACACTGCTGAGGGGAGCAGCGGGCGAGTCAAAAGAGGTCTGCTGTGCCCTGTGGGTAGCTCCCTGGCCAGGGATTGAACTCGTGCTAGAGCGGCTGAAGGACAGCTTCATAGCTTGCGTCCTAACCCCTATTCTCCCACATTTCATGAAATAATTCGATGAAAAGTTCTTATAAGCATCTTCTGCATCGGGGTCTGACCAGTTTTCCCAAGCACGTTGATGTCATTTCTACCTATCTTGTTTGATTAGGGCACTTTTTAGGTCCTTGTATGATTTATCCTAGTCTCAGTCTCCACCGGATACCATTTAGAAAGAAATCTTGAAAAAGACTCAACTGCAATTAAAGTAATGTTCCCAGGAATAATAATTACCAAATCTGTACTGAAGATTCACACACCTTTGGAAAAAAAAAAAGCCAATTTGCTCAGGTGAACACCACCAACTTTCAAAACTCCCTCTGGCTGAAGGCTGCTCCAGCCTGGTTCTAAAACAAACCCTTGTTATTAAAATTAAAATAATTGAGAGTGAGTCCCACAGTACGAGAGGCTTTGAGGGCCATGATTCAAGGTGATGCTCTTTTACTAATGAGAATTTGCACGGAACAGGTCCTTCTATTGGGTCTTTAGTGATTTTTGGAATCGGCCCCAGAGCTGGAGCTCCTGCTCTGCCACCTGCTGGCTGAACCACCTCCGCCAGCTCACTTAACCTCTCTGCTGCAGACTCTTCACCCACGTGATGGAATAGCTGCTTTGCTGCTTCACTGTGAAAGGCCAGGGAAACATCCCTTACAGAATGGATTTCATCAAGTGTTGTCCTGGTATATGTGTTTGATTATTTAGAGTTTAGCGGCACAATGAAGTTGTCTTCACAATTTCATGTTTCACCATGCAGTTATACCCCTGATTACAAATCTTGCTGGGGCATAAGCAACTGGGGGAAAAAACCAGTTCAATGTCCAAACAACAATTAAAATGAAAACTTTTGCAACACTGATTTTCCGGGCTGATCCTGGTGGACTGGAGAGGCCACGCCTCAGGTTGTCATGGGAAACCTCTGGTTGTCATGGGGTCCGACTTCTTGCAGAGCTTAAAGCAGCCAACAGAGGGTGGTAGATCTGCAGCACACGAGCTGGGAGTGCGATGGGGAGGCAGAGGAGCGGCAGATTGCAGCTTTACTAGCTGGCTTCTATTTCTAATTTTGCTGGATTGTGCCAGGCTGATTCATCCTTGGCAGGTGGTTGTACTCTATTTTGTCCTAAAATGCATTTCTTTCCTTTACACGTGGACATGGAAGGATTTGTGTGTGTATGATATTGGGATTTTACACCTAAGTTGTTTCATTTTTCTGGATGCCTTTCCTTTGCAGATGCACCTCTAGAGTATACCAATATATTTGTAGCCTCAGCTAGAAAAAAAGGGAACGTATTGTTCATATCTGTGGGTCCCAGAGCAAGAGTAGAAGAGGAGATGACATGTCAAATCTTTACATGGTTAGAAGTCACAGATCAAGCTAATGCACTGTTACCCAGAACAAAGTCTATCCTCTTACTCTGAAAAATATAACTTTATAATGATGGAGAAGGCCAAGGCTTGAACTGAGAATTCTCAGAGGATTTGTCATTCTGGGCTGCGGAGAAGGTGATGCTGGCCTTCAGCCTGTGCACCTCGGGCCCCCAACCCCCCTGGATTCACCCTGCAGCCTGCAGGTCTAAGTTCCATCCTTGGGCCTAGGTGAGCAGGGGTGGTCTGGGCCCCTGAGAGGACAGGTCCAGGCTTGCTGAGGCCCTGGAGGTGCTCAGGGTCATTTGTCAGGGAATTTCAGGGACCCACTGTGTGGTCTTGGAGTGGGAAACGGGCTCTGAAAGAACACAGACCCAGGGGATAGGGTGCAAGTTGTTTAGAGTCTACAGCTTGGGCAGAGGCCCCTCTTGCCTGGGTCTAAAGAGAGTAACTGAAAAGAGTTTTGGAAGGAGGCAGATCCTGGGGTGGTGGCTCCGGCTTGCCTGCTCACTAGCTATGACCCCAGGCTGCTGGGTGCCCACTGGACGCCAACTCTCAGGGGCCCAGAGAGCACCTGTAAGCTGGGAAGGGGAACACAAATACCTGCCATAATTACCCCCACTCTAAACAAGAGGCCAACAGGACCAGCAAACACTTCCAGCTGCAGGCTGGGGGGCCCAGGGAGGAAGTGAATGTGAGAGCACATGTTCTGTCTCCCCGGCAAGACACACGTGGAGCCGGCTTCTTCATCTGTCGAGTTTCATCCCCGGGACGAAAGCCGACAAGCTCAGCCTCCCGGGGAATGTGATAGCACAGATGTGACAGACCTTTTCAGTGTCACCCCACGCAAACTGTCTTGTGGAAATCAAGAGCGGAGTGTGACCCACTCCCGTTCCTTAGGCTTTCAAAAGGATTTTATGTTTACGGGTTTGGGACTGTGTGACTGTTGACTGTTCGTAACAGTTTTTATGCAAAAAATGGCGGTTAAGAAAGCTGTGGGAAATCTTAATGGGAATCAATTGAAATGATGTTTATGGAGACTAAGTCATAACATGGAAAAAGGGTGATGCTATAATGAGTGGAAAAGGCAGATTCAATATGTGTACCCAAGATGCTGAGAAGTGTGTTTAAACACACACACCCCCACACAATGAAAAAATGGAAGGAAATAGACCAAAACATTAGCAATGACTGTTTTGGGGGTGATGAGAAGTCTGAGTAATTTAATTTCTCTAATTTTCTGAAATTTATTTGATAGGATATGTTACTTTTGTCAAACATATATAAAAAATAAATATGGAGGAAGCTAAACTGACATAAAATTTAGTTAAGCATGTTGACGTATTTAAGGTACTTTCTTTTAAAAGTCATGAGACATTTCAACCATACAGTAAAAATATAGAAGATAATACAGTGCGTATCCATGAACCCACTACTCAAATTCAACAGATGTTAACATTTTTCCTGTATTTAAATGCTTTTTAAAATGAAAAAATGAAATAAATGATTTTCAAATCAACTGACACCCTCCCTCCTATACCCATTTCTCTCTCTCTCTCCTGAGGATGATATCAATTTCTCTCACCCATGTTTTTATACTTTGACTGTTTTGTATATTTAAAAAATTGGCATAAGAGGTATCGATCATACTGTTCCAATCCGTTCGTAACTTTACTCACCACTCTTAAGATTTATTTATGTAGACTGCATTCACTTTATTATTTTTTAAAAAAGATTTATGTATTTATGCATATAAGAGCTGGGGTGCAGGCCAGAGGTGTGAGGTGTGGAGGGGTGAGAGGATTCACCAGAGACAGAGTGGGGAACAAAAAAGGCAGATCCACTGAAATACACTGCTGAGGGGAGCAGCGGGCGAGTCAGGAGAGGTCTGCTGCGCCATGTGGGTTGTTCCTTGGTGGGGGACCAAACTTATGCTGCAGTGGCTGCAGATAGCTTCATAGTGCTGAGACTTAACCCCTTGCACCACCAGGGAGGCCCCTGCACTCATTTTAATGCCTAGTATGAACACCCCTCCACCCACAGATGCATTTCCGAGTCCAGGGATATTTACTACTGAGTCGGCATACACGGACAGACGTCAAGAAGAGGAAATGCAGCTATGTGACATGTGCATGGCCAGTTACAGACCTGACAAGGGACAGCTCCCTCGCCAGGGCCTTCTGGAGCCTACTGGCTGGGCCAAGACTGCTCATGACCAGCTCAAGCCTTCATGTTTTACTATAAACTGCTCTCTGGCCACGCCTCCCCTGCTGTGCACAGGGCATTTGTTTTTATTATGAATGTGGGCTTTCACCTCTCTTACTAGTAGCACAGACACGTGGGCCATTTGTTAAACCAACAGACACAAGGCCATTATTCACACTCGGCAGAATTTGAACCACGACAAGTAGTTCACAGGGTCACCGTTATTTTGTTTTTGACATTTTTGGCATTCTGTTGGGCAAATCTGTATTTACTTGATGCCCAGTCATGTCACCTTCATTTCTTCCCTAAGAAAACCCAATGTATTTAATGGTCCTCCATTTTATGATTTTTCAGGCATGGAATTTGTGTTGGAACTCAACCTACAGCTGTTATAAATGTCATCTTTATGCTTCAGAAGCTCATCAGGTTATGGTGGGGCAGATGGGGGTCTCTCTAGTAATAAACTGCTGTGGGGGTCTATTAACTAGGAAAGTTAGGAAGAAATTTCAGGTCCGATTTATTTTGCCGACATCACACTGTTGGAGAGAACAACATATTGGTCCTTCCTGGCTCCATCAGGACAAAGATCTCATATTCTATCTTGCTGTGACTCCAATCATGTTTTGCTGAAATGGTTTTTCTCTCTCTCCCACTATAACCCCTCCCATCACCACTCCTCCCTGTGCCCCCCCCCAAAAAAAAA